GGAGGTGGTGGAAATTACCATCAACTTGTACTTGATTTAGGGCAACCCCGTAGGGTTTTCAAGGCAAGAGATGTTCAAAGGTGGTTTGCCATTGCCTGCTTCTGCATAGAGATCCCAGATTTCCTTGGTGCCTCCCATTCAAATACTAGCCAAGGCCAACCCTGCTTAGCTTCTGAGATCAGACAGGATCAGACTAGCCCGGGCTATCCAGGTCGCCGTAATTTATCTTATACAAGGTAATAAAAGTCCAGGAAATCTCATCCAGCTCCTCAGCTAACAGACTCCCTCCATTGCTAACCTCCATTCACACCTCTGCTCCACCTAAAGCTAAACTAGCTGCTGGGTTACATATCGGCAGTGTAGTGATGGATTCTAGCCTTATTGTTATGCTCGCAGTTCCTGCGATTCAGGTCTTCTTTTCTAAATATTTTTTCCCTACTGAGAGAACACAACTTATCAACCGGCCCAGAGCACATGACAGCCCCGCATGTTCACTGAACACATGGCGGAGGGAGAGTGTGAGTGCACTGGGGTCATCTGCAGGGGCAACTGTATGGAGAAAGTGGCCATGTGAACTCCCCCTCCCTGTAGATACCTATGGTGGTTTTGGAACGCTGCTGATCATGGGGAGGCAGAGTCTGCACTGCCATTTCTTCCACACAGTTGCCCCTGCAGACAACCAGGTGATGGTGCAGAGGCAGGGGGCCGTGGCAGATGCTGAATATCACTTTGTCCCATCCCACACCTACTACAGACATGAAGAAAACCTGAGCTCTTCTCTCTAATCCTTCACAACTTTCTGAACTGCTCTTATGGTTCTGATTGACTTCTTTTTCTAAACCAAAAAGCCTTTTCCCTTTCTCCATAGTGAGATGGCACTAAGCCTTTGATCACATAAATACACCTGGTTCCACGGGCTTTCATGATGAGATTATCAGAACTGTACACAGTTTTCTGTAACCCATGCCAGAGACTGTTATCATACCATCATGCTTGCTGGCCTTCGCTGCTGTGAGAGATAACTCCCACCCCACCCTGAAACAGACTACAATTATGTTCTCTGTTGTTACTACACAAGTCAAGATAGAAAGAAAACAATTCTGTCCTCCCAATGGGATGTTGTGTTAATGCACACAAATGTCATGCTGGGAAAAAGCCACATTCTTCTTAAATAGTTATTGTATTTAGAACTTTATTTAGTAAATGTATATTGATACTTTATTCTGATCTTCTAAAAACTGTTAGGCCTTATGTATTATATATAAAAGGTAAAGGTTCCCTTGTTCGAAAGCAAGTCGAATCCGACTCTAGGGTTGCGGTGCTCATCTCCGTTTCAAAGCCGAAGAGCCAGCGCTGTCTGAAGACGTTTCTGTGATCATGTGGCCGGCATGACTAAACACCAAGGCGCACGGAACGCTGTTACCTTCCCACCGAAGTGGTCCCTATTTATCTACTTATAAATATTTTTAATTATTGTATTGAGTTATGCTGCAACTGGAAGAGACTATTATATTATTTATATGACATTTGTTCAAAACCAGTTCAGAGTGCTTGAAGTGTGTGTTACGTGCCATCAAATGCCTTCCCAAATGTCCTGTCATTAACAGCCTTGCTCTGGTCTTGGAAACTGAGGGCCGTGGCTTCCTTTATCGAGCCGATCCATCTCATGTTGGGTCTTCCTCTTTTCCGACTGGCTTCAGCTTTTCCTAGCATTGTTCTTTCCCAGTGGCTCTTGTCTTCTCATAATGTGACCAAAACATGATAGACTCAGTTGAGTCATTTTCACTTCTAGGGAGAGTTCAGGCTTGATTTGATCTAGAACCCACTTATTCGTCTTTTTGGCAGTCCACAGGATCTGCAAAACTCAACCCTAACACCACATTTCAAAGGAATAAATTTAGTTACCAATTATTTTTTAATTACTAGCTGAACCAGACAAGAACTGGATGTGGGGCAGGACAGTTGAACTCAAACCTGAACTAATGGCTCAACTTTCCCCATTTCATTAAGTTAGTCTAAATTTTTCCCAAAATAGGGAGGGAGACGAGTGGGAATTTGGGATAGGAATGGTAATAATTGAGGCTTGGTTTAAGTGTGAAAAGGAAGCCACAGCTCTCAGTTTGCAAGACCTGTTAACAATCGGATATTTGGCATTTGTTGGAAATGTAAGAACCATGAGGGCTCATTTTATCATATGTGGTGGACTTGTGAAAAAGCTGCAGACTTTTGGACAAAAGTCCACATGGAAATGCAAAAAATACTGAAATGCTCTTTCAAAAAAGCACCGGAAATTCTGCTTTTGGGACTTAAAATGGAAGAAGTCAATACGACTAAGAAGACCTTACTCTGGTACTTAATAACAACAGCGAGAATGATTTATGCACAATGCTGGAAAACAGAGAAAGTACCAGAGATTGAAGATTGGATACAAAAAGTTCTGTTCATGGTTGAAATGGACAAAATCACAAAAAAGTTGAATAACAAAGAAGATGACGTGTTTTTTGAAGAATGGAGGACTTTAAAATATATCTGGAAAAGAACTGGGATGTGAAACAAAATTTAATATGTTTAGATCAATATTAAGTTAAATGATGTTATCTTGAGATTGTATGATAAGCAAACGATACAATGGATGAAGTATAGTAAGGTGGACGGGGGGGAAGTATTGCGGGAAGCCACAGTGGGGAAGGGAGGAAATGGGAATGGGGTAAACAATGGTAAAGTGAAATGATTGAGTGCTAAATGTTGAATTCCTATGAAAATAAAATTTTGTTTACCAAAAAAAAAAAACAATCGGACATTTGGGAGGTCATTAATTCATAGTGATTTTACAGCAGAAGTGTCAGAAGTGATTTTACAGCACTTAACATACAAAGGCCCCTGCCACGCGGGGCGGAAAGGGACGGGCTGAAGCGCGGCTTCTGAAAGCCGCACCAAAAAAAAACACGCCGCGGCGGGATCACATTGATCCCCTGAGCCGCGGCGCATTCCCTCCCCGGCACGATCAGATGCCGGGGGAAGCAATGGAGGGGAACGGGAGACTGCCGAACTGCACATGGCTGAGCATGCGCAGTTCAGGCAGGAGCCGGGGATGCGCCGGCAGAAAGACAGGCCGGCGATCCCACGGCCGGCGTTGATGCGGCCGTCGTGGATGAACCACCTCGGTAGGTGGTTCATTTTTGATGCGTTTCATCGGGGGAAGGGCCGGATCGGGGACGGGTGCGCAACGCTGCCCAGATGTTGCAGTGGGATTGTGCCCGTTTGCTCCGGCCCCGATCCGGCCCACTCCCGGCCCAAAACCCCTCGTGTGGACAGGGCCACACATGCGCGGCAGGAAAAAATCAAACAAAATAAAAAGTTCTAACAATGATTGCCATGGAGTAAATGTTGTAAATTAGAGTTTTCAGAATAAATCTAAAATTGGAAGCAGTGGCTGCCCTATTCTTTAGAGTGTATACACTTTACAAAGTTTGAGTCCAGTGACACCTTTAAGACCAACAAAGTTTTATTCAAGGTATAAGCTTTTATGTGTAAGCACACTTCTTTAGATACAGTAAAACCTTGAATAAAACTTTGTTGGTCTTAAAATGTGCCACTGGACTCCGTTCTGCTGCCTCAGACCAACAGGGCTACCCACCTGAATCTAAATAAGCTTTAGTTTAGGACTCTCTTGCCGGGATTACCTCTTGACTCAGAATATATGTAAGAAAGGGAGCCACTTTTCATGAACCTTGAAGGCACAGGTAGGTTCCGTTGGGATGAACTTTTACCTGCTGTCACTGTTTCCCAGATTTTAACACACCCAAACTGAGATTTGCAGCAACCTGTAATTTAGTTGCTCTAAACATAGAATTCTCTCTTGCCTGAAGGTATCTTTTTGTCATGGATGTATCTAATTAATATTGATTTTGTTTAAAAAGGAATGGGATGTCTCAAGATCGCCTGAATGCAATATTTAATTAGAGCCCCCCCCCCCCCAGCGGTAGGCAGTAATACTTTAACACTAAGGGTGATAAAAGGTGCCTAGTTTTCCATGTTTTTCTCTAACAGTTTAAATCAAACCTTTCTGTGTAAGGGTCAAACGAGAAAGAGCCACATGTATTATTCCAATTAGGTTCACACTTAAAGTAGAGCCGGGGAAGGAATCTATTGTTAACAGCAGGAGGTACAGGGAACTAAACCCTGCGCCTCTTTACCTTGTGCTACTCTGTTGGTTTAATTAAACAGGCGTCCAGCATCGCCTTACAGACTTAACGAAATCTCGGAGTCTAGTGCTGCGATCACACACACGAAATAATCCACTTTTAGTGCACTTTCCAACTGGGTTTTACTGAGCTGGCAAAACCCAGTTGGAAAGTGCACTGAAAGTGGATTGTTAAGTGTGTGTGATCGCAGCCTTAGTAAATACATGAGAACCCATCGTTCCTGGATCTGTCCCTTATAACCCACCAGAAAACGTCGCATTCTTTTATAAGCAGAAAGTACACAACGCGCTTCAGTTTGCGGCCACGATAAAGCTGGTGAGATTACTGTCCCGAAGCCTCACCTCCGGTCATAAGACCCTCCCCCCCCCCCGACTCTTTTCATTCCTAATATTTGCAAACTGACACTTCCTTACTTTTCCCACACGCCCCATCACCGTGTAAAAACGGAGCGACCAATCGAAGCAGGAAACCGGGGGGTAGTGGGCGTGTGCGGCTCCGAATCTCTGGGGCCGCCTCGCAAAGGGAGCTGGGCAACGTAGTTCTCCGCGGCTGCATGTGGGACGTACCTGCTCGAGTCACTCCGAAGAAGCTCTCCGGCAGCACCTTTTGTGAAGGCCGGCGGGCAGGTCAGGTGGTTTTGTGCGTTGCCCTTATAAATGACTGGCGCGCGTGTAAGGGGACAAAGGGCGCAGTTCTAAAAGCGCTTTTTCTGGGAGGGAGTCCCATTGGCTAAAGTAGGATTCACTTCGGAAGACGTTTGTCTAGGATTGCTTCCCTTCCCAGCTGTATCACCGGGGCATCAGTCAGTCTGAAAGAAGCGAGAGCCAAGCTGTCAGCTCGCTTTGTCAAAAGGGAATCGTGAAGTTCATGAAATCGCAGTCTTCTGCAAAAGAGCACCTACTCGCAGGTTGAGTCTCCGGAGTTGCAACCTTTTGCACGCTTCCGTGGGAGTAAACTCCACTGAACTTCGGTAAGCCTTGCTTCCGATTAAAGACTGCCAGGGCTGTAAAGGTCGTTCTTCCATTATATAGTTGAAAAAAATGAGCTCCTAGGCCTATTTGTGCTGGAATAAAATATTGGTTTTATTATTCTTTATTTATTCTTGTAGGCTGGAGTTTAAATGTGGAAGGTTATGGTCACATTTAATGCAGCATGTTAACGTGTGGTTTAGAGTTTGGGGTATGAAGGATCTACAAACTGTCAAAACCTGTTTTCTGTGAGTGTCTTGTAATTTCTCTCTCTCTTTCTCTGCTCCCAGTTCTTTGCTTTCTAAAACATTCGTTTGAAATCTGGATTTCATTGTCCATAGCCTAATCCAGCCCAAAAGACTGGCAGGATATGAGCTTTTGCGAGTCACTGCTCACTTCTTCAGATATAGCTAGAATGTGAGTCCATCTGTTCTTATATCTTGGAGAGTGAAGTGATTTTAGATGCTGAATGACAATAGCAGGTGTGATTGGATTAGGTGTGACATGCAGAGGGATAGCAGGTGTGGAGAAATTGGTATTGGTAATGAGACAGGAAACCTAGGTCTTGATTCAGTTCAGGTGGATGCATTGTCTTGAGCCTCATTATTGGTTGCAATTCAGCAGTCTTTCTTACTAATCTCCCTTTGAAATTACTTTGTTAGAGAACTGCTACTTGAAAGTCAGCAACTGAATGTCCTGGAAGGTTAAAATGTTCCCCCACTGTTTTTTGAATGTTCTGGTTTCTAATGTCAGACTTATGTCCATTTATTCTTTGTCGTAGGGACTGGCCTGTTTATCCAGTATAGAGGGAGGAAGATATTGCTGAAGCTCAAAACAATGCATCCTCCTGGACTGAATAGAGACCAATGCTGATTTCTCCATGCCTACTACCAATGTTCCCTCTAATTCCGCCTCCCCCCCCCCACTGAGCAGAGCAGTTCACATCCTGAGCAGAATATAATTGCTGTAATTGTATAATGAGCAATGGGTAGTGCAAGACCCTGTGTGGCTCCACATTGCTGCTGAGTGGGGCTTCCTGTTTTAATGAGCAGCTGCTCACATGCACTGTTTAGAGGGAACACTGCCTACCATCCCTCTGCATATCACACCTAATCCAATTTTGCCTACTATTATCATTCACCTGCTATTGTCATTTGGCTTCTGAAATCACTCCACTCTCCAAGATGTAAGGAGAGGTGGACTCACATTCTAGCTCAAAGTTTGAGTCCAGTGGCACCTTTAAGACCCACAAAGCTTAATTCTGGATATAAGCTTTCATGTGCATGCACTCTTCTTCAGATGAATCTACCCGCCTGAATCTATCACATCCTATCTGTATCAGAAGAACTGAGCAGCAGCAGCTCATGAAAACTCATATCCTGCAACAAATTTTGTTAGTCTGTAATGTGCTACTGGACTCCTGCTCTTTTCTACTGCTACAGACAGACTAACATGGCTAACCGTCCTGATCTAATCCAGATCAGACTAGCCCAGACTAGCCCAGACTCAGATCTCAGAAACTAAACTGGGTTGGCCCCGGTTAGTATTTGGATGGGGAACCGCCAAAGAAACCCAGGGTCACAGGCAATGGTAAACCACCTCTGGAGGCCTCTTGCCTTGAAAACCCTATGGGGGCTGCGGTCACACGGAGCATTAGCCACGCTGCATAGACGGAAGATAGGCGGACTTTCCGGGTGCGATCTCACCGTAACATCTGGGGAGCGTAGAGCTCCTGTGGCTGACCCGTGAGTACCCTCCGAAGACTCGCAGTAAAAAACTAGTACCTCCGAGGTACTAGTTTCCGGGAACCGCGCGGCAAGAGTGGGCGCTTGATCGTGTCCCTGCTGGATTCCCGTGGCATCCGGCGCCCGCCGGGTTGTTCCCCCCTCATGCCTCCAGAAGCGCCCAACAGCACATGCGCACAAAGATGCGCGGCGTCGTTGGGGGTCGAGGAAGGACCACGGGGGGCTGCGATGGGGGTGAGTGGCAGCGGCCAGGCGAAGAACGGGCCGCATGTCCCGGGGAGGGAGGGCGGGTGGGCTGCTGGTGGGGAGGGGGGATCTGGTGGGGTGCTCCCCCCTCCCCCCCCGTTGTGAATGACTCACGGACGCTGCCCAGAGTGGGCTGTGCACAGCCCTCCCAGAGGTGGCGGCTTGTTCCGTCCCCTTCCCATCAGCCGGATGCTCTCGGTGGAGGTGCGGATACTCGTATGATTGGCACCTCCACCCTAACAACGGGACCTCGCCGGGACCTCGCCGGGACGTCTGATCCCACAGCAGCGTGGTATTTTGCCCCGGGGCAAACAGCCACGCTTCCCCCCCGCATTTTCCTGGCCGTGTGGCCGGGGCCGGGGTTGCCATAAGTCGGCTGTGACTTGACAGCCAAAGAAATCCCCCTATGTATGTTTTTTTTCCCAGAAGGAAGTCCAGAGAGTTCAAGGGGATACTTCCTAGGGTGAAATGCAATGCCCAGTGCTCACCATTAGTTGTATGGAGGACATCAATGTGGATGGAGCTTTACAGTGTCAAAAAGCAAGGTCACTGGCCGAAGAGTCTACAATTAAAACAAAATTTGCAACCAGTGCAAAATAAAAGGAGGAGAGGAAGTAACCTGAGCTTGCTGGGAGTGAGCCCCACTGAAGTAGGTATAACCACGTGAGATTAGGCTGCTCATGTGACATAGGATAACTAGGGAATATTTACCCCCATGGCTTTCTGCACACAGGTGGTTGACTGGGCCTTTTGCTTCCAAACCGGTGTGCTGTTTTGGGGAACAACCACATGACATCATCCTCTAACCATTGATGTTTTCCCTGTCCTCCGTACTCTCTTTTTCATCAGATTTGCTTCATCATGAATTTTGGGTTGCCAGCTCTGGGTTAGGAAATACCTGGCTATTTGGGGGGTGGAGCCTGGGAATGAGAGGGACCTCAGCAGGATATAATGCCATACAGTCCGCTCTCTAAACCAGCCATTTTATCCAGGGGAACTGACCATAGTCATCTGGAGATCAGTTACCAGGGGTCATTTCCTGCAGGAGCGCACAGGAGCGGAGCTCCAGCAGTAAAGAGACCAGGGGGCTGGCACGTGCAACAAGCCCCACCCCCTGCTCCCAGCAGCCCTCAGTCAGAGCAAGAAGCAGCCAGGTAAGTTGCAGAGCCCCCCCCCCCCAGCCCCCTGGTCCAAAACAGTCCAATGGCACCTTTAAGACCAAGTTTTATTCAGGTACAAGCTCTCCCTCCTCTGTGAGGACAGATCTGCACTCCCCCCCCCCAATAGCTAGCAATCCAAAACAGTCCAGTGGAGCCTGAGCAGTGGGTGTTGCCTTCTGACACACGTCTGGTGATGTCAGGGTGTGTGGCATATGCAAATGAGTTATGCTAATGCACCCCTGCACCTGTTTTTCTGCGAAATGACCCCTGTCAGTTACGATAGTGAGAGATCTCCAGGTGCTACCTGGAGGTTGACAACTCTAACTCTATGACTTTTTTCTGAAAGAACAAAATCCAGGTATGTTAAGATGGCACCTGGACAGGAAGGTGAATGTTTTAGACAGTCCCAAGCACATTGGTGCCATCAGCCTTCTCTTTATGCTTTCAATTTCCCGCACTGTAGCACTATAATGTTACAGCCATTACCGTGGTGTTGCTTTAATAGCCTTTTGGTGGCTCAGTAGGGGAAAAATACAGGGGAAATGGTGGCTGATGGAGGAAAGTGTGCATAAAATTACCATGTGGCTGCTCTATTGCCAACTTGAATGCATCTGCAGGGGCAATTATTTATTTAATTTATTTAATTGGATTTTTTTAGACCGCCCTTCCCTGCATCAGGGCAGCTTACAACAAAGGTGTATTAAATAAATAAAATTAAAACCAACAATAAAATACGTAAGACATATTTCAACAAATAAAACAATCCAATTCCAAGATGGCAAGGGAAATGTCAGCTTCCACGAGCCCGGGGGGGCGGGGGCTTGCAGAGAATGGAGGATATGAGAGTACCAGACTACATGCTATCCTGTTACTGTCCTCAACTAAATGCCTGGTGGAATGTCTCTGCCTTATATATCCTGCGGAAAGTTAACAAATTCCTCAGGGTACGGATATTAAGAACATAAGAGAAGCCAATGTTGGATCAGGCCAATGGCCCATCCAGTCCAACACTCTGTCACACAGTGGCCAAAAATACCAGGTGCCATCAGGAGGTCTACCAGTGAGGTCAGCTAGATCTTTCTCATGCCGGGGACCACCAGGAGGTTCTTACTTCCTGATCGTAACACTCTTCTGGGAGCATCCTGAGAATGAATGCAGAAGGGAGAACCCTCAACTTTGTGGAAGCAACTTTGTGGGAGCAATCAGTAACAGCATCCTCTTAAATCTCCAAAGGTATGGCAGAACGTCATAGTTCAGATCCCCTGATGTATAACTGAGCTGCAAAATTAAACTCTGTTGGTCTTAAAGGTGCCACCGGACTCAAACTTAGTTCTCACATCTGTTAACTCTTTTATTATCTGTATGCTAATTTGCTGCTATTCACAGGTCTCACCAACTGCTTTAATCCAATCTTAGCCATACGTATTGCTCAGTTACTTATGCGTCTTGACTCTAATTAGCCCTTACTGGCAGCTAGCCCCCCACACACACACTTTCTCTACTTATATGGAATGACTGAGGAAGCCTTGAGGAAGCCTTGTTTCATTGTGTCTGAAGAAGTGTTGCATGCACACAAAAGCTTATACCCAGAAGTAAACTTTGTTGGGTTTAAAGGTGCCACTAGACTCAAACTTTGTTCTGTTGCGCTCCAGAAGGTAGCCAGGCATATAGATCTGGGTAACAGCATGGAGAAAGGTGGTGGCCAGGGGGGGGGGACTTTTCCCTGTGCCATTTGCCAGATCAGAAATCCCACTCCCACCCGCAGTCTGCTTTAAACCCCAGTAGGGAGAAAAGACAGCTATCCATATTGAGGATGTGTTTATTTATTTATATCTTCGATTTATATACCGC